CTCCACATACCTGCCGTGGTACCAGTGGGGCCTCCACATACCTGCCGTGGTACCAATGGGGCTTCCACATACCTGCCGTGGTACCTCTAACCCTTCCTGGCAGTCATTTGCATAACTGTGTCTATTCTTGTGCTATCAGCACCAGGGATGCTTCTGATTAAACTCCTGAAACTTCTGCTTTTGTAGAAATGGACAATTTTACACAGTTCGACCTAGAATGGGTACTCAGTAGAAATCTATTGAATGAGGGATTGAACTTCTACACTACCTAATGAATATTAAATGACCCCAGAATTTTCACAGACATGGCTCTAGCCACTTGAATACACGTGAATCCCTTTTTCATTGTTCAGTTGCACTTTGATAAACTTTTAGGTTTTATCTATAGATTGTTGTTATTGTTTTACAACAAAATAATATTTCATAATATTGTTTTCAAATATTCCATCATAATATTGTTCTCAAAGTGTTGTCTAAAACAACCTCCATATTTAAAAAAAAAATAGTCCAAAACATTGTAAGGTTCAGTAACTTATTCAATGCATTATAATTAATCCTAACATTTCCTGAAATCCAAATACATTTCTATGTTCCAGTCTCAGTCCCTAAAGTTACAGAATCAGTTTTCAAAGAGTAAGACAAGCACAGAACAGTGGTGGAGGAGGTACCTGTCTCTCATTTTTGCATCCTCAGAGACTGTCCCAAATCACATATTCCTCGTTGACTCTTTGATCTTCTGTAGCCAGAGAAGCAAAGTGTCGGGGCTCCAACACCTCAGGTACAGACAGCCACATTGTGACCAACTTGGCACTGAGCTGGGACCTAACGTGTCGAGAGTCACGTGTCTACCTCCCTGCTCTGATGATGAGCCCCAAGTAGGGATGTACTTGTGGACTGTGTGATTGGAACAAGTATAAAATGAGATGCTTAGAAAGGCCAGGCAGATACTCATATAGAGGAAGAAGGCAAACATGGAATATGGAAATGAATGGAGAAGCAAGGCGGCGCAGGATTCCGAGGATGCACTTGCTCAGCCTCTGCACTGTACCGGTTGCTCCACTGTTTCCAGACCTCACAGTTCTTAAAGAAAAGCTGTAAATGTAGATCGTTATATTAAAATGCCTAGTTTGTGAAACACAAGATAATGTAACACACAATCTATCCCTGGGCAGCCAGGCAACATAAGAGAAATTATACAGAAAATCAAAGGGAGTCCTGTAGTCAAAATACTCAAGGAAAAATCTAATTTTAAATACTTTTACTTATCATTCCTGAAAATATTCTAGTGCCTGTTGGAACACATGTCCCAATTTTTAATTTAGAAAATACAGCTTTGATACTTCTAATTTAATTGCCACTTTAGACTGCCTTAGATAGTAGTCCCCCAAGTCCCAGAATCAAAGAGGAAAGAGGCATTCATGTTAAAGGGAGGGACACAGACTGAGCAACTCGGTGTTTATTTTAAAGAACCAAGAGTGTGATGAACTGCTTCGTTGTTTTCCAAATCTCAACCCATGATTCCTCGGCTTTCACTTGCCTGCGCCTCCCAAAGTGTAAGTGTTTTGGCTGGATTATTAGGAAATCGTACCTGGGTCATTTCCAGGGATCTGGTCATGATCAGGGCTCCTGTTGTTGGGGATTTAGCTCAGTGGTAGAGCGCTTGCCATAGGTTCGATCCTCAGCTCCTGGGCGGGCGGGGTGGGGGGGTGGGGGGTGGAGGGGTGGGGGTGGGGGTAAAAAGAGAAAATTACTACCCTCTGAAAGTTCTGAACCAGCAGCAGCAGGGGAGCACAGAGTTTCCCAACCCATCAACAGCCCCCAGTGCTAACTCCCCAAGATCGGTCCACACCTTCCCTGGGAGAGAACGTGCAGCTTGACTGTGATCATAGAGGCACAGTGAGCCCAGCAGAGCACAAAGCGAGCGGCAGGCAAAAAGGTTAAATCTGAGGAAATCCTTATTTTCTCTTGGCCTTTCACCCCAACTAGGGACCTTGGGGGCATTTAAGATCTGCCACGTTTTCCTAAGGGGACAGAAATAACATCTGATGAAGTAAAGCGTTTGATCCTCCATTCCAGAGCTGAAGCACTCACAGGAAGATAATGTCACTGCTTTTCCAGGTGTCAAATGCAAACATGTTCAATAGGCCAGTGGCACAGACACAGGGTGTCTTCAGAGGCCCGCTATGGAATATGGGAAACAACAACAGAAATTGCTTCTTGCGCTCACCCAAGTCCGATAATTACACTGACTGCCAAACACCCAGGAACAGAGCACTGGAGACCTTTGGGGGGGGGGGTCCTTTGTGCATGCCCTGCCTTCTCCAGAATCAGGCTAATTTGCTCCTATGTCAGCCAGCTCCAGCAAAGAAAGCGGGTGAAGGAGAGCAAGGAGAATGACTTGTCAGCATTATTGGAAAGATTCATGATTAGTCACACTCACTCACAGGCAAGAGCCTTGCCAGACACCACACCACTCATTAGCAGACCTGAGAACTGGCGTGCCTCCCACAGCTGAGCAACAGCTCAGGACCTGGCACGCCCCCAGGGACCCACAAAGCCCCGTGTCCTCCCACACCCTGCAAACAGGAAGGCCAGTTTGGGCAAGCCTGGGTACAGTTGACTACCTGGATGCTAGATGAGTTTGTGTTAGGTTCTGTGTTGCTTATCATATCATTATTCAGGTGTTCAGCTGGTACGGAAATCAAGACGGCATCTCTTTTTGTTAGGATGAAACAGTTAGCTGCCTGGGAAAGCCATGTTTCTCCCCAGGTTTCCCCACAGAGGACCCAAGCACTGCTGGTTTGCCTGCCTTGCCACCTCCAGTCAGAGCTATTCCTCTGAGATGGAAGCTTTTCACCTGTCAGTAATCATAACTTAAACGGTAGGGATGGCACTGAAGAGCCCAGAGCATCAAGGACCCAGGAGACTGGGGAGACTGGGGGAAAGCCAAGGGACTTCCTGCAAAGTGTCAAGCAAGGAAGAGAAGCCAGGCCCTGTTCTTTTGTTTGGTGTCATCCAGCTGTGGGAGCTATAGCCTTATGGGGAGACTCCATTTCTAGTTAGGACAGCAAGCCATTCCTGGTGTTGTGGAACGCTGCTGTAGAATTATAACGCCATAAAGTTAGAACAAGCCTAGGCAAAGAGCTCTGGCTTCTGATAGGATGGCCCGTACTCTCCATAGAGGCTCTCAAAGTGAAGGACAGAGGGTAAGATCTGTAAATGAACACAACAAGGCGTCAACTGTGGTGAATCATGGCTAACATGGAGCCATGACAGTTTTGTTGGAAAGAGAAACACAGTCACCTGCATGCTTAGTTCAGGCATCCCTCTTGTTTAAAAAAAACAAAAAAAGCCCACTGCAACATTGGATGTCAAATTCATACTACGTGGCAAACATATATGTATGCTTGTTTTGATTTATGGTACCCGGAAAAAAAAGGTGACCCTGATCTTTAAAAAATCCAAGAGTGAGAATTGTTGTTGACAGTGACCAAAACACTCACGCTACACTCTTTTAAACTGAAGACACTTCACTCTGGCTTCATAAGAGTGCATGGTGATGACGGGGCAAATGTGATAAGGCCTCGGAAGTATTCTGTTGGGCTTCTGGAGTTTTTCAAACTCCCTACAAAACTGCTAAGCACTCCATCTAAAAACGGTATGTGGGGAAACTGCTATAAACGCAAAAGGCATATGTCAAGGGACATTCGACTTAGACCAAGCCTAACAGTTGGACTGCAGGAGAGGCCCAGCACCACTCGGCCTCCCAAGGAAGGAGAAGCGGCCCCCAGTGGATGTGAGCTAGTTACACAAGGTGGTTGGAGGTGCCATCTCTCCCAGTTAGCTTCAGCTGTCAACACGACCTAGAATCGTTTGAGGGAGTCTCAGTCGGGGAATTGCCCCAAGCCGATTGTTCTGTCATCGCGTCTACGGGGCGTTTTCTTAATCTCTAGTTGATGTGGGAGGTCCCAGCCCACTGTGGGTGGGGTCGTCCCTAAACAGGTGGGCCCCGGCTGTATCAGAAATGGAGCTGAGCATGCGCCTTACAGCAAGCCAGTGCTCACTGTTGCTTCAGGGTTCCGGCTTCTGTTTCTGCTTGAGCTTCCGCCCTGATTTCCCCCAAGAATAGACTGTGAGCCGGAAGTAGGAAATAACCCTTTTCTTCCCCAACTTGATTTTGATCATGGTGTTTATCACAGCAACGGAAAGCAAGCTAGAGCCCCCTCCCCTCGTCTGAGTCTTCCAAGGCCCTCCACTGTCTGTGCTCCCGAGTGAAGGGGCAAAGCTTAAAGGAAAAGTTCACCTGACCTCCGAAGGAATTGGCGAGTCGCCCCAAGGAGGCTGGATGACTGTTTATGACCACAGTGCTCAGCTTCAGCCTGCCTGTTATGTGTATTATAAACACACACCAACCCGCTTCCAAAAGTGTCTCAGATGTATGCCTCCAGGTATACCAAGAAAGTGTCCCTTGTTTTCAATATTTTCATTAGTCAGCCATAGGATTATCTGTGTTTCGAAAGTATTTCAGAAAAATTCATCTGTATTGAGCAAATATAGACTTTCTTCCTCTTCGTTCACCAAACAAATACACAGCAGGTAATATTCCTATAGTATTTACATTATATTATACACTATAAGTAATATAGACATTATTTAAAGTGTAGGGAGAATGCATGTAGGTTATATGCAAATACTGTGACATTTTATATAAGGGACTTGATATTGATCTTAGAGTTGGATGTTTGAGCAGGATCCTGGAACAAATCGCCCATGACACCAGTGGACAGCTTGGCTTTCAGGAGAAAATGATATTTTTTGTACTTTTTCCAAAATGCTGGAAAGGGCTGTAAAGCGCACTGGTAACCTTGACACACACCCCTATGAGGAAATGTTTTTTCTCATTTCACAGAGACTCAGAGAACCACCATCTTCACACCATTAGGATATGGCAGAGCAGGGCCACGAACCTACAGTCGCATGGGTTTAACCACTATGTTAGTTAAGAAATGAGCATACGATTTCCTGTGGACACAGGCTGTTGTGCAGCCAGTGGACTTCTGAGAGTTTGGGAGGACTACTCTCTAGTGACCTGAGGACAGGCCCATACAAGGACAGATAATTTGAGAAAATAAGACCCTGGGGAGTAGGGCCTTGTGAACAACCATCTTGGCTCGGTTTCCAGTGATGGTGACTCGGCATGCCACTCAGCCTCTCTAGCTTCATTTTCGACATCCTTATAATAAAACGCGGGAGTGCGTGCCTCCCAGGATTCTCGAGGAGCTGACTCACGGAAACAGAACTGACCGGTGGCTGACCAATAGAAATGCCGAGTGTCTGGGGAAACGAGGTCACTCGAGAAGGGAGAACCTAAGTTTAAAAGGAAGATTTAACATTATCGTGTTTGTCACGGAAACTCGTAAGCCACAGAAAGAAATTCTTCTTAAAATTTGCTTAAAAATAGCTGCCTTTTCTCTGTGGACTGCAGCTGTCCTCTCTGCTTAGTCTTTTTCTCCCCAGCATTCGGTAAATGATTCCTATTTGTCAAGTTACCGCGGAACCTAGCTACGCCATACCTCGGCTCTGAACTCCCAGCTGCTCTCTCCCCCTGTCTCTTCTGCAACAGTCTGTGGAGAAAGTGCCGGGGGGAGGGGGGGACATTATGGCCAGCGCTTCTATCTCTGCCTGTTGAACAGCTCAACCCTGCCTTGCCCTTTCCAATCTTCGTCATTTGCACCGATGATACCGCTCCTCACAGCTTGGACACGTGTCGACAGGTCTCTGGCTGTGAGCCCGCTTTCCTCATGGAGGTCCAGTCTCTGTAATAACTGTATTTTTCTCTTGTGGTGAGGAGTAATTGGGTTAAACTGGCGGGCATTTGATTCTGACTATACAAACGGCCTGAGCTAGTTTGGGCCTCGGTGAGCTCCAGGCAGGAAAGAGCTGAGCGGCTAGATGTCCTCGGGTTGTCCTGTGACTAGTCCAGTGCACACTCGGGAGACACTGAGTAGAAATTTCTAGAGGGAGGTGGGGTTCATAGGCTGAGGAAGGAAGGAAAGGATTTGGGCATTTGGGGGACTCAAAAGAGTTGGCTGGAAGCCAAGCTTGATCGAATCATAATCAAATCTATGGCCATGCAAAGGTTTTGATAGCATTCAATATTGGCCCCAGCATCTAATGTACCACTAGGACGTGAAAAGGGGAAACGGTAAGGAACGGAAGGGGTTAAACCCCAAAACTGTTTTCCTCCTGCGTGCCTTGGCGATGGTTCCATTGAGACCTCTGTTCATATTTCACACATTCAACCTTTGCAGAGCCTTGATCTCTCAGTCCCTCAGTTTTATAATCCCACCAGGTCAGCATAGAAACCAAGGGATGCTGGAGTGTCAAGTGCACCTGGGAACTCAACTCTGCTGAAGATTGCCTCCCCCTCTGGCCAGCAGGACCCCTGTCCCTCCCTTCTGGAGGACTCCCTGCTGTTTGGCCGCTGGAGGGCAGTTGAGATGCCCATCTGTGAGGAGCTCTTCACTTTAACTATAGCCCACAGCCTGCCAGAAGTAAAATACATTGAGATTTGGAGGACCGTAAAGAGCAGCCAGGCGCCAGAAGTCATTAGGGTAAAGTTATTGTCCTATCAAAAAGCTTGGACTAGGTGTGCGTATTCACATGCTATCACAGCAGAAGAGGGGTGAGGGTGGGTGCCCCTTGCCTTCTGTTCAGAAGCCTCCATTGGAATATGAGGCAGTTCATCCCTGGGCTATGAGAGAAAGGAAGTCTTCAACACTCCATAATTATTAAATGATGAGTTAAGTCATATTAATGACTCCCCAGATGGGCAAAGTTTCCATTAGGACACATGAATCATCAACCTAGGAAGAGAGTCCAGTGCCCTCCATGGGTGCCAAACTGGTTCCCAACTTAATAATCCTCTAGAGTCAAAATATCTCTTCCAGGGAAAGGCTGTCCCAGGAGGACAGATGAATCACTGTAGCAGGGTTGACACAGCAAAGAGACCAAGTCATGGCTGAACCATGAAGAACCGTCTTAAGTAGGATTCAATCATAAGTTAGGATGAGGAAGGAGCAGAGAAACAGATCGAAGGGGCTCTCATCTAAGCATCTGCGTGCTGCTGGACATCACCACTGGACCTTCCGATGTACACATTCATGTTCTTCAATGAGGCTTCCTTCATCGTGTGACCTTTGCTCATTCTCCACCAAGTGGATGCTGTCACACTAAATGAAAGGGAAGGGGCATCCGGTGCTAGATAAGTAGGCCCGAGGGTCAGTGGCATGGGCAGGAATCCTACCATCCAGGCTGGCACTGCCTCATTTAACCTCTAGACTTGGCTGTGGAATTGAGCTGGTGCCTGAGGGGAGGAGCTGTGTGTTCTTTGTCTACGATGGTGTTCCACAGATGATGTTTGTGACCTTCTCATTCTGCACACACTCCCTACCGAGGCTTATTCACAGCCGTGGAGGCCTCAGTTGCCATACACACGGTCTACAAATGCCCAATTCCAGATCCTTAGGTCAACAGTCCCTCCTAAGCATCACTTTGCTCAACAAACACTGATAGAGAGCCTGCGTTGTGCCAGGCCCTGACCAGGCCAACTGAGAACCAGACCCAGGGAAGTCTGAAAACAGCACTGGCTGACGAGGCTCAGGGAGGATTTTAGGTCTACTGCTGGCTTTATTTTTTCACTCCAACTTGTAGTGATAATAACAGCAATATAACTTGTTAAAACTCCATCCACCATTTGTTGGAAATCGAGCAAATTACTTCATTCCAAATGCTTAGTATAAAATGCCCTTTGGCCCCCAGAACATGCATCACATGACGCTTCAGTTTGAATTCGTTTTCGCTCTTAAACTCCAATGTGACATTATAAGGCGGGCAGGGAGTATTTAGGAGATGACTAAGAGACCTGCGCTCATAAGTAGGGTCAGCCACCATATGAAAGGGTTTAGGGGAACCACTGTGTCCCTCTTCGTCTTTTCCTTCTCTTGTCACGTGAAGACATGTCCCCATCCAGAGGACACAGTGAGGAAGGTACCGCCCTGGAAGCAGAGACTGGACCCTCACCAGACCCAGCTCCTGAAAACCCCTTGACCACAAACTTCTCAGCCTATAGAATCAAGAGAAACAAGTTGCTGTTTATAAATTTACCAGTCCCGATTGGTTATGACGCTTTCCTCATGCAGAGCAAGCCAGGCTCAGGCATGACTCCTCAGAATCTGTTCCCGCCACAGCTTAACCGACAGAGTGACGGACCAGCTCACACCTCGGGAATAGCACGTCATGGATCATTTTAGCGACGATACTAAGATCAAAGTGCTTTGTCGTCCAGCTTTTATATTTATGGTCAGAAAAATAAGGTGCTGAAGTAAAACAAGCTTACTGCTTCTCTTTATACTTCCATATCAATTAAGCAATCCTAAAAAAAAAAAAAGCTACATTTTTCAGCTCATAATGAATCAGAGAACTTTCAATATCAACTAATTAGAAATATATATAGAGAGAGAGGTTGAATGTTGTTAGTTGTTTTTTACTCTTTTGGGGGCAGCCTGCCACCCAGCTCCCAAATAAATCACACACAGGGGCTTATTCTTAGATACAAATGCCCAGCCTTAGTTTGTCTTATTTCTAGCCAGCTTTCCTTAACTTAAATTATCCCATCTATCCTTTGCCTCTGGGCTTTTCCCATTCTCTTACTTCTGTAAATCTTACTCTTACTCCGTGGCTTGCTGTCTAGCTGGGTGGCTGGGTCTTGGTGCTCCCCCAGCGTGCCCAGCCCACGGGTTCCCTTCTACCCCGTCCCTGGACATTCCTGCTTTCCTTCCTTCTCCTGTGTGCTCCACCAGCGTGCCCAGCCCACGGTTCCCCCTTCTGTGTCTGCTGTTCACCTCACTCCAGCTTCTCCAGGCAGAAGACACATATGGCCGTGGAAAGGCTCATCTATGCACTTCCTGTGCTGCCATACATGGCTTGTTGCCATGTCTGAATTCCTACAGGGGAAGGGCTGCGCTTGACATATTTAGGTTCTCACTGGCTGCCCACTGCCAGGCCCATCATATCTACTAAATAAATGTGTGGCCGATGAATGAATGAGCAAATGAGCGGTATAAATAACAACTGGGATTCAGTCCCTAATGAATTTAAGCATCAGCTCTCAAGACATTCATGCCTGGTATTTACTGCTTCCTGAGCTACCCTAGTCCTGTGAATGGCCTCATCTAGCCTCAAATAAGCTCCCGGAGGTGGGTAATGTAATTGTCGTGATAATTTTTCAGACAAGAAAAAAAAAAATGAAACACACTGAGTGATGTCACTTGATGGAATGTTTATGGTTAGTAGAAGGGAATGTGACACTCGGACCCAGGAGCTTTTCTGCTGTGTGTCCTTCCCAGAGCACAGGCTGCTTTCTACCCAGAGAAGCCTCCACACAGGAAACTGGGTACCTCCTGGTTCCTCCAAAGGCGTGAGAACTGTCCACCAGAACAGACACTTTAGTCCTCTACATTTGATGATCCCAGAGTCTACTGGATGTCCAGTAGTAAACCACTGGCT